CTTGAGCTGAACTAGTTTCGTATTTTCGTCCATCGATTAACATGTTTGCCAAACTATATTTTGGGTCTTGTAGTGCTTTCTTTCGTAATCTTGAAGAAGTGCCGTTCGTTACAATCTGCATCTTAATTTCAAAATCTATGTTTGTAATTCGCAATATTTTGCCAAGCCTCGTAAACGCGTATGAAATTCGTCGATTGATTCCTCTTTGCCTTGCGTCGCTTGTCTAAAAACATAGGTGCGATATATCACGTTTTTCTCTAGTTCAAAATACTCCGTCAACGCTTTCACTGCTGACTTAAAATCTTTGGTTTCGCCCTCTTCTAGAGTCTTGAAAATTTCGTGTACTTCGGGCCCCGCCTGATACAATAATAAAGCTCGCTTTCTCGCATCGTCTTTAATATCTGCTGCGAGTAAATATGTGTTGAATCTCTCCAGCCATCGTGTTCATCTCGCGCACTTGTACTTGTAGGATCACTCCTTGGTTCAAAAGCAGGCATAGGCTGTATGTTTTGTGTCGCCATTCTAGTTTTCCGTTATATTTTTCACGCTGTTTATTTTTACATTCTCGTCACCATTATAGAATAGATTGAATGATGATTTATTACAAATGTCAATCAACGTTGTTACATGCTTTGAAGTTAATTATTAACTTATCGCATCCTACAAATACTACAGGGGGGAGATCACCTAATAATAATAGTTGAACCATTCCAAGTCTTTCGACTTGGGATATATATGAAAATCCAATTTGTTGCTTTGTTTAGATATATGTATACCTTTTCCAGATTTAAAAATTCGTTAGTGTTGCTGTAAGAAATTGTTATTTCTTGTCCAATAATTATTCCAATTTAATTTCCCACGATTTATCCTCGGTTTTCTTGATGTTCTTGTAACACGAGTTGGGATGGGTTGATAATTTCGCATATCACTATGTTTTTGGCGCACTTTATTATGCGTGGGTAGACTTGTTAAATATTCCTTACTAGTATGATCATTGTTGTTTAGTGAGGTATTATCCTGTGAGTTCGTATATCGAATGCTGCTGTTATCTTTTTCTTGATGTGTATGCTTATGAGCAATGGTACCCGGAATAGGAGGCTCACTTGCTAACTCTGTTATTGTGCTTGTGTTATGTCTACTATTATTTTCCATTACTGCATGGGCTACGTGCATGGTTGTACTATTATAAATGGCAATGCATTCGTTCTCTTCGTAGTTAAGGTTATTTAATAAAGTATTCCCTTTTCTGTTTGATATATTCGAAAAATTATTCAAATTTTTTTTTTTTTACAAATTTTATTGTTAAATATCCATCTTTGGCATATAGAAATACAATGGATTTACAAGTTAAAAATATATACTAAAATACATGTATAACCTATGAGAATGTAAAAATTAGAAGGTTTAAGAAGTTTTTATATACATATGTACAATGATCTAATTTCATGAGTTGGTTAATCTACACGCCCTTGGGATAAAAGACGTACTATGCCTGTGTGTTTTTGAGAGCTGTCTTGGAGTGCTGTCTCTGGTCCTTCTCAGTTCG